TCCTCAAAATTCTTGGTGAACTATTCATTGTAAGATGCAATTGCATTGCTAATTCCACATCATCGACTACCTCAATTGCATCGCTACTATCACTATTACATTTCTTACCGTTCTTATCTGCTATATCCAACGCATTTTCTGCCAACTTCACTGCATTCTTCGCCTCCACAGACTTCCTCACAGCCTTCTCCTTTCCAATGTCTACCATCTTCACCTTCTTCTCCACCTCATATTTCTTCCCCTTCTGCCAATCCCCCTCAGTTGTACAAGATTTCACCACGACCTTACAATCACTCCTCCTATGAATCCTGACAGAACTCTTTAGCAAATCCGGAACCCAACAATCCACACAGACCCTAAACCCTAACCCCAAATAACACCACGGCGTGCAATCCCCATAATTCTTAACACAATCTTGGTGAATTTGGCCACCACAATCACAACATTTAACAATATTACCTGAATTCGCCGTTTCTTTGAAGCAGTAAGAGCATGTTTGGCCTGATTGAACTTTCTTGCTGCATTTTCTACAGAGCAGAACAATGCGCCAGACACTGTCCAATGGTTGCAGCCGATCTTCCGGGTTGCTGTGATTGATTCGGATCCCGCAGCAATGACAATCGGATAAATTTGGAAGGTCCCTGGTCCTCTTATCGAACTGTAGAGTGGTTGTTGACGAAGATGAAACAGAATTCGGCAGCGTGGCGGGTGGGCCGAGTTTGGCTTTAGGATTGGAATTGTGATCGGCGACAAGAAGCTTTTTGGGTGCCATCGGATTGGCAGAGGATCTCTTATCCTGTTGAAGGGGTTTAATTTCTATACAGAAAGTATTGTGTTCTGTAACGAGGGTTTTAGAAAACAAGAACAAATTGAACCGGAAGAAAACAAGGCACGATACTTGCGAGGATTACGTGGTGACCACGCGCGAATCAAAATGAAGGATCCAGACAATGACTTGAATAACCAACCCAAGTAGAGACTCACGAAATCTTCTCTGTTTATTCCGATTACATCTGAATACGAACCGTAAACACACTCTTCTAAGCAGAGAAAAAAAAATTGGATTTAAAATATTTTTGGAAATATGTAAAAGATGTTCAAATTAGACAAAGGGGTTGAATTGAATTAGCCAAAACTTACCCATGCTCTTCTTTTCTTTCCTTTTTTTCATTTCAAAGTATGTATACGAAAATTCTCTGTTGATGCAAAAGAAAAAATCATTTTCTCTAAATATATCCGCATACAAAGGGGGCAATACCAATATAGAACATCATAATTTGGTACTAAAGTTCGCTAATGTCTTCCAAAATGTACCGGAACAATATAAAAATGTTTATCCTCGCTTAGTCCGACAGAGAGAAAACAGAAAAGAATGGATATTTCGTTCAGGTTCCATTTAAGTATGCGCCACAACATACCAAAACATCAGCATCAGCATTAGACCATTAGTGGCATTACGGATGTGATGCCTGATTTATTTATTAGACAATTGAACCATTAGTGGCATTCAAGTTCCACATATGATTTGCACACAGAGCTATGATGCTAAAAGAGTATAAACGAGCAACTAAGGAAACCCTCAGACTAGCATGCAAATGATGTTAACAAAGAAAATTTTCCAAAACACTTGGTAGTAAATTGTTAAACAAAAGCAACATCATTAATTTGCAAATAAAAGTCAATCCCACAATTTTCCTTTTATTGATCGCAATGCAGTGCTCACAGTTCAACATTCCATGTAGCTAACTAGCGTCATACAAGCATCAACGGTTTTCACAAAAATAGAACAATACTGAACCAATTTTGAACAAAAGAGCATTATCTGGTGCCAGCATAACAATCAGGTATTGCCCAGTTATTTAAGATAAGTAAATAGCTTTGTTGCAACCTGTGTATTAAAAACCAATGTCAGCAGCAAACCAGACAAAATATTAATATAAACTTGAAATATACCCGAAACAGTGGGGGCAGCGGAATAAATGTTAACAGGAAAGATGGCCTTACACATTTGTCAACGCATTGCCAATAATCGAAGTACTGTCCAGTACAGTGCTTGTGCCCACTTTCATCACCTTGGATCCTTTTAGAACATGCCTATCAGAAACTTTAGATTAGCACTTGCAATTGGCAATAGCTTTCAGTATAGGGTAGCATGATGAAAGAAAAGAGTATACATGAACCGCACAAGCCATAAAAGAATGCCACGCAAACAGAAAAGGATGTTCATGAGTTATGGATATAACAAGCTACTATATAAAGCTCATATTCGTCTCATGTCAATGCTAATTTAAGTTCCTTAGACACCAAATGAATAATTCTTCCAGATGTCTAATTTTCACACTCAATTGCTCGACAACCTTCAATTGGTTAATTAGTTGATCTGTTGTGACTGATGAGAAACACATCAATTGCCTAGCAGAAAGTAAAGACTTGTTTACAATTCAATTGTCTAGTTGCAAATAATGTGTGGTGATAGAGTTACACCCATTGCCTAGCAGCGAGTCATGACTTGTTGTCAAGTCAACTGCCTTGTAGTAAGTAATATTACCATCTCTTTTCTTCAAAATACACATACAAACACAGGTATTCATCAAATGGTGGAAAGTCTGGGGATCCTTTGGTCCAAAATTACGATCCCCCAACTTAAAAGAAATTAGCTGGAGCAATTCAACATTAAGCTGATCTTCTTGAGCCCCGTTCTGTCCCATCAAAATAATAATTTATTTTCCATCTGTTTGGTGTGCATAGAAGAGGTAACCAGTGGTTGCCCATACAGTAGCAAATCTGAACAAGGAGAGGATGCAAACAAATTGCAAGATGTTTTAAAGTGGGAGGACGTGGAGATGTAGGAACAATGGGCAAAAAGGAGGTACAGTTGGAAAGGCCAAGAGAGAAGGGGAAAGGGGAATGTCGAAAGAGTTGTATGGATTCTAATTACAGAAATCCCATAATATCCATAAATGTCAATGAAAAAAGGACGTTAGTTCATAAATATGGCAAACTGTAAGAATATGCTGCAACACACACAAAGAAATTAAATTCTAAAAACAATTCTCCAGGAGGAATAAGCATATCAACTATCATCAACTGCTTTCCATTAGAAACTTTTCTTAATCAAAATTACCCATTTACAAGAAGTTATCCCATAATTGAAACTCGCTCCTTTATACCTGAGTTATTTTTTATGTTTGTTGACCTGACATGACAAGTAATTCCACAAAAACGTTAACCTTAAGATACATCAGAACAAATATATTCAACTTTTTTCAAGTTCTTGCAAGTAAACATCCTAATGAACAATTGAAACATAACGCACAGAACATATATCATTATGTATGTTTTGGCATGTTTGGCATAACTTTTGAAAAGCCAAAAGGAGCTTCTGAGACCCAAGAGCTGCTTTTGGACCCATTTAACTAATTTTATGAGAGTAATTCTGATAATTAAAAGAGCTTTTAGAGGAAGTTGGTCCATTATGATTTCCACTAAAAGCACTTCTGGAATTGGAAGTGCTTTTAAAAGTTAGTTTTCAAACAAAAATTAAGATAATTTCTTCCAAAAACTCTTCTACATGAAGCAAAAGACATGCCTAACGTGCCCGTTCACTTTCTTATGATCAGGCATCACTTTCTTATGGTTATCAAGCCTCTGTTTGGTACAGATTCATTAAAACTCATTTTTTCCAAACTCATTTTCAACTGCACATTTTTCGAATAAAATAATTTTGTACATAAAGCCATAAATTTTTCATACTTTTTAACCATATATTCTCCACAGCCTTGTTGGGGGGAGTCACTCTTGTGTTCTCTCTCTTGGATAGGTCAATCTCGCTTTCTCATCAGTAAGTACATTTGTTGTGGTATTGCTGTCAAGTTATTTGGTCTCTACCCGAACCCATGAAAAAAATGGTATCACTCTTATGGACACATTGAGAATGATTCTAATATAGTTCATGGCCTATTAGAAGTAAAAAATCACTTTTCACAAAATATATTCTCAAAAATTCTAGATCAAACATGCTCTTTGTAGATATTTTTCACTTTGGCGTAAAAATATGTGGATGACAAATGTGCAAAAGATATGCACACACATTGTGATCCTTATCTCACAGATGTGGATCACTTATCTCACACCTGCATTTGTAGTAATAATCCTCAAATGCTAAAGGTGCTCAACATTTTATTGGAATATCAAGAACATAAGAAGCATCAAAATGGAATGGAATGGGAAAGCAGATCTGTATATGTTTGTCTAGTGCACGATTGTTTAATTGGTAAATAAACTGCATAGCTCTACTTTACAAGGAGTACAACAAATCTTCCAATCAGATTGTAATAACAGCTTAAACAAAAAGGAGCGAACAAAAAACTGAAAAATGTAAAATGCATAGAAAATTTCATTTAGGCTTTAGCAATACTAAGTATCAGGTGAAAAGAACACAAAAGGCAGGAAACTTGAAAAATGGAGAAGCAGACATTAAATTAGAAAAAGAAAAAGGAAGGTTTATTTCCATTCAGTCAAAATCACCTGATATTCTTTAAGTGGTCGCGTACATGGTGCCTTGCATCTCGCTTCAAGTTCCTGCTTTGGATCTACAGGCTCTTCGTCCGACCTAGATTAACAAAACAAGTGTGCACAACAGATAAGGTATTAAATTGATGCCAAACCAAAAAGTAAGACAGATGCCTCTGTTGATAGCCAACTTCTTAATTATTATTTTTTTAATTTAACTTATTAATTATTATTTATCTCAAATGCTTAATAGTTTTAGGCAATAACAAGCAAATTATGCTTCACGAGCTTATTTGATATGTGAGAAATCGATTTATTCAGAAGTTAGATCAAGCTTCTACATTTCTTTTCTCTTCAACATTTATGTCTATAGTTCATATAACCATTCTACGAGATACTTTTTTAAACCGGTACTGGACTTAATTATCCTAAGAGACATAGATTAGCCGGAAGACCCAATGGAAGTCTTGATTCAGTTCACGGGGGGGTCTGATGGAGATTTCCCTTACTAGAAAAAGCCCTTGAGGTTTCATTTTTTAAAGCCCGCGTGGAACAGTAAAGTATAATCCCGGAACCTATTAATACATTATTCCATAACGCAAAGGGGACAACATAACTCAATCGTATTATTTTCTGATATATTCATAAATTAAAAAGAAAAATCTCAACTTCTGATATCAACTTAACCCTTGCATCTTGCACTTGAAATTATTTTCCAATTCAGTAAAAGCTGCATTAGCTTGCTGTACCCTATAAACTAATAACACATACCGCTGAGAAAGTATGTGAGTTCTTAATAATTCAATAATTATTTCAGAAACGAAAAATGGAATTCGTCTGGTGGATAAAATGAATCACCAATATCAAATCCGAATTTCGGGAAAAAAAAAATAAACATTTATAAGTGAATGCTAATACTCACATAATAAAACAGATGGTAAAGGCAGCAAAGTCGCCTGCATAAAACAATTTTTCAACAAATCAACTCAATATCGAGAATTGCTTACGCTCAATATAAAGTGAAATCCTAGATCTCAAAATAGAGTGAATTGTTGAACGAACGAGTAGATCTGAAATCATAAACCTGAGATATCACAATGGCTCACCTCTGTTTGGGGATTAGAGCGGCGGAATGAAAGGAGGTGCAAAACTGCAAATAGAATGACGATAAATTGAACAGTGAGGTCTTAGGGGGTTTGTAGATCTGGCCAAGTCAACCGGGTGGTACGCCCTTTTTGATGGAAATTATTGATTTAAATTAATTAATTAAATGTAAGAATTTATTTTTCATTTAATATGACATATAGTCCCTGATTTGGTTAAAAATTAAATTTCTAGTAATTTTTAATTATGAAATGTGTGATTAAAAAATTCATAATAATTGTAAGTCTCACAAAAGTGTGGTTAAAATGAATTTGAGAAAAAAAAAAGATTTAAAAATGATTTGATTTGGCATGTTTGAAAAGTTTTTATAAACAATTTGAATTATAAATAAATATAAATGAACGTCGAATAAGTGCGAAGTTTTTATATTTCCTTCGAAATGTGTAGATAAAAAGTTATATAACTGTTTATAAACATGAGTCATACATACATTTAGACCAATGTTAATCATCATTTATTTTTAAGGATTAAAACGGACGAAGATTCACCACCTAATCAGGTACACGGAAAAAGAATTTTGCCCCCCATGGCGGGGATGAGTACGGAACATGGTTCCCACCTCGTTACGCGCCCGTTTTAAGTTCATTTTAAAAATAAGTTTTTTTATGACACAGAAAGAAATTAATCATCATCATTTCTAAAGAAAATATGTGTTGTTCTTAAATTGGAAAAATGTAGTAACATTCACCAATTAAAGACATTAAAAAAATAAAAATAATAAACAGTTTAGGGACCTGTCCCTGACTCCTCGTCCCATCTGATCCCATCTCAATCGTGTATGGGGGCAAGGCGGGGAGATAAAAATACTCGACAAAGCAAGGAGCGAGAACAACTATTTTGACACGTCACATTGACATTCCTATTTATACGAGACAACATTATTTTGTTGTTTTTAAAAAAGCTAAGTTTTATAAGTAAAATCTATTCCAAGAAGGCAATGTGCAATTGCCATTTTAATTATAGAAAATCAATTAACATATAACAAAAAAATCACAGAATATCTTTACATATCTTATAAGGTGTTTCTTATTTCACTAATAAATATGTAATACACGTTTTACAAGTGATTTCATAACAATGTAATACATGCCTCTTCTTAATATACATAAAAAAAAATACAATAGATGTTTGCGATTACTTGCAATCGCCCATTTGGCATGTTTGTAATTATATAATCGCATTGTTTGGTCTAGATGTCATCATAAAAAATCATTCACATTAGTTAGAGTGTGTTTGTTAGAGATTAAAATCGAATTAAAATTGAAAAACTAATCGTTATTGTTGACTTTTATTAGACGAGTGAGACCCAATAACGACTATATTTTCAATTTTAATTGGATTTTAAGTTCTACCAAACAAGCTCTAATTATCTAGTTGGATGGACACAACTGCCATGCNACATTACTTAGAGTTTGTTTGATAGAGATTAAAATCGAATTAAAATTGAAAAATTAGTCGTTATTGTTGACTTTTATTAGACGAGTGAGACCCAATAACGACTATATTTTCAATTTTAATTGGATTAAAATTTCTACCAAACAGGCTCTTAAGCATTTATATTGCCATGCTTATGCGACTCTTCCAACAAGAGAGGTGGATCATTCTCTTCGTCTTACATCAGCTAAACTTCCTCGATCGTGCCATTATCAAAAAAATCTTCATCGTCCTACAAATATGTGCATTTTAAGTCACAAATCTCAATTGTTTGATCTCAATTCATAGACAGATCTTGTGTAGCCACAAGCTTTCTACTCTTTCAATTTAACCATTTAGTAATTAAATCAATTAAACAAATTAATCATAATGATTTATAAAATTTAAAGAGTTGGAAGGACAAGAAAAATATATTAAAATAGACCAATCAAATGTCATTCGTACAAACAGCTTGTAACACCAACAATCGTTCGTTAACATTAAAAAACCAAGAATTAAGTGTCCCTAAGAAATCAGCTAATAGAAAACCATGTTCGAAAGTGGTCACTTCTTTTCCTCGACAATTTCGGATTTTTTCTCATTTTCAGTAGTTTCTTCTTTCTTTTCTGGCACCGACGTCACAGTGTCTGAAGCCGGAATCACCTCGACTTTGGCTTCTTCCTTTTCTACTACGGCGGATTGGCTGGTTTCCTTTTTAGACTCTTCTTTTGGTGCTTCGCTCTGCAAAATAGAAAATAATTTTAAATATTAAATTTCATAAAAAAACTTTGCTTGAAAAATAAATAAGAAAAATTACGCTAATTCGATAATAACCTCTTTCTCTACCACCTTCTGATCGTTTTCTTCTTCTTTCTTCTGATCAACACCTTCGGGTTTCTTTTCGGCGGGTTCTTCAACCTTGGCCTCTACCTTCTCAGATTTCTCCTCCACAACCTCGGCGGCGGTTGTTTCTTCCTTGGGTTGTTCCGGGAGGGGTGCAGCGGTGTCTTCATCCTTCTTTCCCTTAGGTACACTAGCACAAGCACCCATATTTCTTGAATCTCTCAAGAAAGAACAACCTTCTCTCTCTTTTACGGAATTCTTTTTTTTTATTATTATTATTTCTGAGAGAGATGGTTGAAACTTTTATCGATTATGAGAATTTTTCGAGATTATATATAGTACTTAAAATTTGTAGAAAAAGCTCCAATATTCTATCTAAGGCAGAGAAATTTAAGGAAAATAACTGGTAAACAGCAATTTTCTTCTCAAAATGCAAAACTTCTATATTTAAACCATTTTCTTATCAGCTGATTGGAATTTGAATAAGAAACGTAAAAAACGAATCATATTATTATGGAAAAAATAACACATTGTCTTTGATGAGGGGTTCTTCTATATTTAGTTAAACCAGAGAAGATTGACCAGCGATTGCACACGCTCAAGGAAAAGCACGACTAAACCTAATTTTTAAAATGAAAAATAATTAAAACCCTCTGATTAAATGGACATTTCATGTATAATTATGCATATTACATAGAAAATTAATTGTGACAACTGGGATATAATAAATTTTTTTTTTCTATTTCTTTCTACCAAACATATTTACTATACCAAAAAAGGCATTTTGCAGCGTACCAAAAAAGGTCTTTTGTAGCGGCCAAAAAAAGCTGCAAAAGGCATTTTGCAACGTTTTAGCATGTGTTGCAAAGTTCGATGTTGCTGTTGAGGGAAGAGATACGGCAACGTTTAAAAAACGTTGCAAAAAAGGTCTTTTGCAACGTCTTTTAAACGTTGCCCTTTATATATATATATATCAATTTATGTAAATTGAATAGCAAAATTGAAAATGAATCTTTGCGAACAAATTTTGAAATTGCATAAAAATTGATAATTTCATTACAAATATCTGAATCAATATACTTGAACATTAGAATGTGATACAACAGGAGAAAGCTAGCTAACTCAACATCTTAAACCCGGACTCGATCTATTAATAGAAACTAGTAATATGCTACCAACATACAACTTTCCTTCAAATCCATATACGAGTAAGCCAACCATCTTGCAAGAGAACTATTCTCGGGAAGGTTGTCATCCCCATTAGTCTGAACTCCTGTAGTCTCCTTAACCACATTAGAA